TGGGAAGTTTCTGTCATTTGAAGGCCATGAGTATCTGTTTGAAGCATTCATGAGTTGGGATGAAGAATACACAGCCAAATGTGTTGTAGACCTTGGCATAGGAGAAGAGAATCCTATGTATGAAGATAGAAAAGATAGTGAGGGGAGCCTACAAGAAATGATGATGGATGAAATTATGAATGCTTGAGCCCACACCAGCAATAATTCAAGGAATCTTCACTGTAGCCACATTTGGCTACAGTGAATGCTAATTGTTGAGTATCTTTGTAAAAAGCAATGGTTGTAACTTTGCAATAATTGTAACTTTGCAATAATTGTAGCCACACCAGCAATAATTAAAATCCTATGTAACTTTGCAATAATTGTAGCCACACCAGCAATAATTAAAATCCTATGTAACTTTGCAATAATTGTAGCCACACCAGCAATAATTGTCTCACACCAGCAATAATTTTGTCTCACACCAGCAATAATTCTACACCAGCTAAATCTTCACTGTGGCCACGTTTGGCTACAACAATAATTTAAGGAATCTTCACTGTAGCCACGTTTAACTAATTGTTTCTATCTTAAAGTATCTTTGTAAAAAGCAATGGTGTAGATCAGAGTTGCTTGCTGAGTCAGAATTAAAATCCTATGTAACTTTGCTTCCTTATATAAAGGGACTTAGGCCAAGAAGTGAAGGCAGAGTTGGAAGAGTTAGCTAGAGAATTACTCTGAAAGATTTAGAGAGTCCTCTAGAGAAAAATACTCACCTTAAGAGAAAGATTGGTTCTCCATCTCTCTTAAATTAGAGAAAACTCTAGTTCAGCTTATGTCTGTTTAACCTTTCAGTTTGTGTGTTGTAATATATGAGTGTTGTAATCTTTTCAAATTAATTAAAAGTTTCGTTCAAGAAGGGAACGTTATCCCCTTGAACCTTATATATCAAATGAGTTATCTTTCTGTTTAAGATTTTCCATCATAAACACAGTAAGGGTTGTTTAATTAGAGATTACGGTCTAAGGTAGGAAATGAATTAGATCTGTGCTGAGCCTGATCTAAGGAAGACAAAGATAGAGTTAGCTACCTTGGTAAAGCCGGAAGCTCAGAACGCCAGAGGTTCCATTGTCGACTAAGTTCAGGTATTGGTCAAAACTCTCTAGTTAAAGAATTATTATTGCGAAGCATGGTGGGCTGTTAAACTGCTAAAATAATTTATTTTGATGTATAAGTAGTAGAGTTGTAATAATTAGTACCGATAAAAGTCATTAATCAAGAAACAAGTAAACAACAAATTGATATTAATATAAATAGGTTCATTGGTATCAAAGAGGTGTTCGATAGTATCAAAAGAAATACCATCTAAGAGTTTGTTGGTATCAAAGAAGAGTACCATCTAAGCTTAACTTGGTTGTTGTTGGTATACCATCGACGTTAAAATCAGTAGCAAACCACTCACAATAAAAGTGTCGGTTATAGTACATTTGGTCCCTACTTGTAGAGACCAAAGTGGTCTTAAGTAGGTAGAGACCAAGAAACGCTCAGGGTAATTTTGGAAGTACAAGGAATGATGTTAAAAAAGTAATGGTATAATAATCTTTACATACTATTCAAAAATAGTAACAAGAATAACATTTTGGATCTCCAAAATAGGAAAACATGAACTATGTTATGAGACGGAGGAAGTAGAACTTTCGATTTGTTTAATTTATTTGGATCCAAACCCTTTTATTAAGACTCAATTCGAAAATCAAATTTTTCATGAAAAAAAAAAATTGTTTCTTTTTGTAAAAAATTACTAACCAAATTACAAATTTAGTTTAGATGAATTAAAATTCAATTTTTATCCCAATAATTGACAGCTCGACACCCTATAAATATGAAGTAGTGATGGGAAGGAAACATCTATACTAATCTATTAAAAGACATTCATAAAAATGTCCATGTGCCACGTAAATCCTTTTATAATATGCCACGTTGCTTCACAAATAATTCGTGATGCCACATCACCTACTCAACATCTCTTTATGCCACATCACCACCCAATCAATCCACATTACTTCAATACTTTTATATAAAAATGTAATGTTAAGAGGATTTTAACCCCTTATCACTTATAACAAAAGTGGCTTATTAACCATCTTATCCCATTATCAAGCGTGCTATAAATATTAAAATAAAATGTACATAAGTGTAAAACACATGATTTAATTATTTAATAAAAAAACACATTCAATAATATAGATTTCATATTTCAAAATCCTTAAAAAAAATGCCCCAATTGCATGATTATAAAAGTAGCAACCCGGGGCAACACCCGGGCTACTCACTAGTTAAAACCTAAAAGTAGTGTTTTTTAAAAAAAATTTGACTCATACCATATCATGTCCAATTCTTAACACAACCAAACACTTGTTATTAAGTGTAAGTTCTAATTGTAATTATAAAAAAAAAAAAATGTGTAAGTTCCAATTTTAATTCATACTACTCTAATCTCAATCCTGATTTCAAACTCATACCTCTTTGCAAACCAACCACCTTCTACTTCATGTTAGAATAGAGTCCAGTTTGAACATTTTTATATCCTAGGGTGACTAATGCACGCACCATACGTAGTATGTTCGAGGAGCTTGTTCATCTTGACCTTATACCATAAGTTTAGTTGTTAGCAGTTAATATTAATTAGGGAAAATACAGTTAAAATTATTTTTAGAGATATTAATATTCTATCTTCACACTAATTTTAAGAGTAAAACGGTTAAAATATTTTTTAATATAGAGTCCAGTTTGAACATTTGTATATCCTAGGTGGCTAATGTGTGCACCATACGTAGCATTAGGGCTGTACACACTTTGGTCTGAACCGTAACCAAACTATACCAAACCGTATTTTATATTAGCGGTTTGGCTTGGTTTACGGTTTATAAAAATACGGTTTGGTTTCAAAATTTTTGTAAATACGGTTTACGATTTGGTTTGGTTTTTCAAAATTATGAACCAAACCAAACCGTAAACCAATAAACTGTATTTTAATGTTTGTATAATTTTTAAATAAATAAATTATTAAAAAAAATAATAATTTTTAGTTTTATTAAAAATTTGTAATACAATTTAATTCATTGGGCTAATTATTTAAACTTTATTATAAGTTAATAATGTATTATTTGGCAATTTTTTTAAAAAATGTTGTCTCAACAAAAACTGCAAACCAAACCGCACTAAGCCGTTAATGAAGTATATTATGGTTTGGTTTGATCTGGTTTCAATACTATTTGGTTGAAAAATTGACCAAATCGTATTTTTGGTTTGGTTTGGTTTGGACTCAAACCGCACCAAACTAGACCATGTTCACCCCTACCTAGCATTTTCGAGGAGCTTATTCATCTTGACCTTATACCATAGATTTAGTTATTAGCAGTTAATATTAATTAGAGAAAATACTGTAAAAAATATTTTTAGAGAAATATCCTCACACTATTGAGTTAAGGTAAAATACAATCCTTGAATTTTTGTATTTATAGCATTTTAGTCCCTCAACTTTTAAATGAGGCAAAATGGTACCTCAACCACCAATGATTCACTTTTTAGGTACAAATTAGCTAACTAAGCATGGTTTAGGGACCTCGGTGCACATGTGGCAATAAATTTAATGATTTTAATAGCAAAGTTTAGGAACCTATAGTGTGAGGTGGATAATGTAATTATTATAAACCAAAATTGAGGGACCTATAGGGTGAGGTGGTGCTCCCATACAAGAATGATTAAAATGTTTTAACCCATAAATGTAATATAGTTCTATTTTTTTGAGGGAAATGTAATATAGTTCTATTAAATTAATTTGATTTCAACAAAACCAAATTAATTTTAGTAAAAATTATTAACTTTATAAAAATATATAAGTGAAAGATATTTTAAGTGTGAAATTCTTGGTTACAATTTACTTTCTCTCACTAAAATATGTTGATAACTTTCGCTAAAATCTAGTTATAATACGGAATTTGTTTGTGAAAGAAAAATTCCTTCTTAGTTCTTACTCATTCAGCTAAACTGATTTAGTTAATAATCTAACGTAATTATTATTTTCTCCTAGAAATTGACACAAGATAAATAAAAAAAAAAACCGTAAAAATTGTCACACAAAATGTCCAGAAAAGAATTGAAAATCATTTAGAAGATAAACACGTAGGAAAAAAACAACCTTTAAAGTTGACACACAAAAACCCAAAAAAATTGAAATTCTTTTAGAAAATAGACACATGAAAAATAAATTGTCAGGTTGAAAGAAAAGAGGGTGGCATTTTTTTTATTTATTTATTCTAGTCTTCAATCTTTTCATATTTCAATTTAGTTTTATATTACGAAGTTTGGGTTTTGTCTTACTCACTCACTTTGAAAATTACATTACATATTCTGTTTTTTTTTTTTTTTTTTTTTTTTTTTTTTTTGGGGGGGGGGGGGTGTGTGTAAAATATATATAAGGGGTAAGGATCTAGGATTTGAGGATGTATGGTTAATGAGTTTAGTTGAGATATATTGTAAAAAATTTGATTATGAAAAAAATGGAAGAAGAAAAGAAATGATAGAAAATAATAAATATATCATGATTATCAAATTTTATTAGGAATTTTTATTCTTCAACTCACTTTATATTTTATTCTTGCCAACTCACTTTATAGATATATAATTGGTAAAAAAAAAAAAACTTACTTTATAAATCCCTAAGCTTTAATTTTGTTTTTATTTAATTTAATTAATTGACGTTTGATCTAACAAGTCCTTAAACTTTTGCTTAAAAAACATAAAATAAAAAATATGACACATCATATTAAATGGTCCCTAAACTTACTTAGGTGGATTAAAAGTCCCTAAACTTTGCAAACTAAACTTTTCCTCCACTAGTAATGGTGAGACTTGGGTGGTTGAGGGACCATTTTACATCATTTGAAAGTCGAGGGAGTAAAATACTACAATAACAAAATTTAGGGACTGTATTTTACCTTAGCTCTGTTTATAGAGAGGTACTACCTATAAAATTGATCCTACACAAGTGTGGTCGTACTCTCACAATATTTATAAGATTAAAACCGTTAACATTAATAAATAATGTAAATAATTAAACAAACAATTTCAGAGGGTATATATAAGCCTTTGCTTGAACTTTGTGAAGAAAAAAAAAAAAAAAACCTTGAACATTTTTACATTTCATTAATTTGGTACTCACACATTTTAGGGTTTACAAAAATCCCAAATCTTAGGATTACTTATCTATTTGTGGTGCGAGAGCATGCATGACTGAAATGAAGGTGGTTAGTTTCTCTTTTCTTCTCTCTTTATTTTGGTCTTTTTATTCATTCTTACTTATTTCTGTTTTTTATGGAATTATATGACTTTTGATGTTATTAATGGTAGTGCAACCTAATATATGAGCATTTTTCTTATAAATTTGACTAAGAAAATGTAACCTAATTTATGAGCATTTTTAGTTCAAATTTGATTAGGAAAATTGATGATTTAGGCCAATTGCAACGTCAATTTCTTGCCATTGGTTTCAAATTGGAACCTTAAATCTGCTGATTAATTTGATTGTAACAATTGTTGGCGCAATCGTTGTGATATTTATTATGGATTGGCATAATTAAGAGGGTAATTTGATATTCTAGGTATTTTATGAAAGAACTCATGTCATATTACAAAGAAATTTTATGAGTTGGGATATATGATGGGGTTAGTTGATTAGCAGTGATTGTATTCCCATTTCGTTTTCGAACACTATTAACAAGAAAATCGGAGGATATCGAACTATAACAATCAGACCGGCGCTAATCTTATTGATAATAGCTCAAATATTGTTTATGATAGCTTTTAATCATCGAGTTATTTATGGAATACACTAAATTAGTTGTTTAGAAGATCTTTTTTTTTTTTTTTTTTTTTGTTTCATTTGTAATTAAAATATACACTAGTTAAGCTATTGTGAAAATTAGTATACATGAAGGACCAAGATTATCTAAACCGATTTTCCGTGATGTAGCTACCCAAGCAAATGGAAGAAAAGGGTTCAAACTTCTTGTGTACTTACATTATACCTGCAGAAGTGCAGAGGATAAGATACAAGATTCAATTGATTCTTTGGGAACCCTGAAATTTACTGACCTTAGAGTAATTTATGACTTACCTTATATCACATGAGGAACTTTAATACATGAGGTTTTCTATTTTTCCTTTATATATGGAAGTTAGTTGATTTAGTTGCAACACTACGTTTCCTTCTAGAGCCCTCTTGACAAAATGAGAACAAGATATAAAACTTTCTTCTACCTATTAATCTATTATATTCATCCCAGACCTTATTATTAATTTACCCTCGTTCTTCTACTCTATATTTTAGTCTATATTAGCTGACTATTACTTTTATACTTTTTGGAACATTTTTTACAGGAGGATAAACAAAGTAACCGGGGTGAAAACCCAGCTCGGTTTCAACGTACAGATCAGTGGCGTCCTGTTTATTCTTGGTTGGAAGCATTGGATTTGGATGAGGTTATTAAGTCTAAAGACATTTCTGACTGGCTGGCTGCAAATCCTGAGGTCAATGAAGAGTTGGGATCAAGACATTCTCGTTATCATTTGATGCACTACATCAAAAAATGTCATATGAAGATACTAAAGAAACGGAATGTAATTATATCATTTTTTGCTTTTTTTTATCAGCTTATGCATGTGCAACCTTAAGCTATTTGCTCATGTGTGTGTACTTGTTTTTGAAATTTGTTGTATAGGGTGGGCTGCAGAAGCCTAGTGAATCAGCTTCCTTGAGTGTTGAGCATCCCAATGTGCCAAAACTGCCAGCCACGATTACTTGTATGTTTCTGCTAGTTAGCACATATGTTCTTTTAGATTGCTTCAATTATATTGTTTGAGGATGACACTGTCATGATGTTGATGTCATCCATGATTCATGTCTCTGTTTTTTTTATCAATTACTTGAGAGTTAACAGAATGAGGATGGATTGGGAACTTGTTATTCCATTTCTGATATATGCTCTTGGATTCTATGTTCCTCCCATACTTTGATCATCTCTAATAAACTAATGTTATTATAATTTATTTTTCTAATGATTTAAGATTGCAAGGAAGAGATGGATTATTTCTCCTCTGTATGTTTATCCAAACATTAAGGCATAGAGATCTGAATGCAGTAGATTATGAATGCCAATTCCCCTTTTTCATCTTCCTCAGCCCCTACAGATCAATCAATCAAAGGTTTCGAATTTAAATATAATTGAAAATTTATACAGAGCTTTCCTATAATCTTTGTTATGTCCATTTTAACACTTCTGTGGCCATTTGGGTACCATTATACATCATTATATTATGTTAACTTTTATTGTTTGCTATATTTTTCTTTTTTAGCTTGAGTAAAATTTGTTTTTCTTCTGACATCTGGTAGCAGCAGCAACCAACCTTCCAGCTATATATTTATCTAAGATATTGACTGTTGCTGCAAAGTTCTGGATAAAACTCTGGGAATTGACTCTTGTGAATCAGCATTGAAAAATTAATTTGTCTGTCAATGTGAGCAAGCTCATGGAGAGTTGTTTGTTTGTTTGTTTTGTTTTGTTTTTTTTTTTTTTTTTTTTTTTTTTTGAGAAAAGGAAATGTTTTATTAATCACACCAACAACACATTACACAGAGGCTGCTAAGCCCCTAAGCATTTACACTTAAGCCAAGCTGAATCTCTAGCCTCAGCTTTACAAGAAGCTAAACTGCTAATCCTATGATATACATCAAAACAATTTCTACTAAGTACAACTTCAGGTCCATGAATTCTAGCATTCCAAATTGCCTCATTTCTCTGTTGCCATATGCTGTACATAAGAGCTGTGCTCTGCATCACAGATTTTTGAAACCTGTTCTTAGCCTTCCAGCACCAATTATTACACTCCTCTAAGCTCAAAAACTACAACTGCACCTGAAGTCTTCCTTGCAGAAGCTGAATTAATCTCCGACTGTACACATCATGTGGAGTTGTTTTATTAGACTAAAAATTTATGTCCTTAATTAAATGTTGCTCTTGTGCTTTAAGATTTTTAATATCAAACAACTTTACTGCTGATATTATTAACTATTTAAGGTGTTTTTGGTTGTAGCTTGTAGGTTTTTTTTCACCCCCCTTTCTTTCATATAATATATTTTATATATATAGTGACAACATTCAATACAAGACATGAGCTAGATTTATATGAAATAGAAATTCTCTTCTTCCACATCTTACTGCTAGCTAACGGGCACGATTAACTTGAGACCTTTGCACTTTGTACACCCCCACTCCATTGCAGCTTCTTTGCTTGAATAAGACTAATTAATAGTCCGAGAATTATTCAAGTCTGCTGGATTTCTAAAGATGTTGATCAAATTTCTTTCATTATTGACCTTGTAGGCATTAGGCAAGCAAGAGCTTCTTATTAATTTCCTTAGACTGGTGATTGCTCAATAGCCCTTTGTTAAATGGCAATCCTTGCTTCACCTGCTGGCTGCTTGAAGATTTTTTTTTCCACGCTCACTCTTTTTAATTTTTTTGCTTGTCTGAGTCCAGGAGGCTTATAATCATCTTGCCTCTTTCTTTGGTTTGGGAGTCTGCATTAAACATCTACCAGGACTACCACTGACATCTTCTTGCTTTCTCATACTGCAACTCTGCTAAGAGGAATTATGGAAAAATTCAAACTCTAAGTTTCTATGTTGGACACAATTTGCTCATCTCTAACACCTCTGTGATAATAATAAAGTTCATCACAGTTATGAACTGGGCAAATCTAGCTAGGATTATGTACAACTGATTCTTTAAGCTTCTTCTTATCTATGCTGATTATATTTCTTCTTGTTATCATTTGACAGCTAATCCATTGACAAATGTGCCTGAACACAGTGACCTTTATCATGTGAAACGACTGGAAGCTTTGCGCAAATATGAGATGTTAGTACTGTTGCTTGTCTTGCTTGATTGTTATCATTCATGTGTCCATCTGCACAAAGTATTGTGATGTTCAGTGTATAATGCATTTTCTATACTCACCCCTTTTCTCCCTGTATATTGCAACATTTCTGCAGTCTGGTAGAATTTGAGAAGCAACTTTCTTCCATGATTGCAAAGCAGAACACTGCTCAGGAGTCTTGATCAAGCTGGATGAATCCGCATTTGTTTTCTCCTTTTGAGCACAAATTTAACGGATAACGTGGAGCGGATCCTTGGAAGTTTGTGCTCATCGGTGCTATCTGCTATGTCTGCATTCAACAATTGAGGCCTTCCTTTTCTCATGATATTTCTGTAAAAAATTATGGTGACAAAATGTGGCTGTACTAGAGTTTAGACACCTTCACCACATTCTATTTATGAGGCTAAATCCATGTATAGATTAGAATTGCCAAATTTATTTTTCTATGCTTTACTAATATACGAAGTATGTAGTATCAAAATTTACATTCTAATGACAAAAGTTGTGAGAGCTAACTTCTGCTGTTTCGATGGTAAGATAGTACAACCACCTGATTTTAGGAGATGCCAAAATTCCTAATTTTTAAAGTTGAAGCTTATCAATATAGAGTATGTGTAGTGGTGACAAAATGGTCAATTAAATTCCTAAAGTGTGATTATCTTAAAGTATGTCTAATGAAAATTCCCCAAAACCTCAGCTACATTACATACATGATACATATTAGTGAATTTTTTTTATTATTTTTTTAATTATACAGTAATTTTAAAAGAAATTCAAATTTAACAAATACATAATGTCTTAAAACCAAAAATTTCCTTCTCAGAAACTACAATTGTCAAATAAATCTTGCACGGTTAAACATGGTCGTTTAGATTGTGGATCGTAGATAGACAACATAGTACAAGATATTGACAAATTCTAGTCCACGCTTTGCACATTCCTAATTTCCTACCTACCACTAAGACACTAATCATTGTTTTATTTTTTTTGGCTCACGTGTAGGAATGAATGTTAATGGCTATCCTTTTACCACGTTGGATCACAAAACAATCATAAAACAATAGATATTTGTAGGAGTACTAAAACAAAAACAGTCCTCATATTCGAGCAAAATTGAAGAGGATGAAAATTGGAACAATAGTTCTAAAAATGGAGAATGATAATTACAAAATAATCCAAGTTTTTCTGCTGACAATCTTACTCTTGAAATCTCCAAACTATAGTTATGGTCACAAGCATGGTGACGGTGTACAACCATTGTCTCAGATTAATATTCTCGGCACAACTCTTGATCTTCACAAACAAGTTCATGTTGATGTTTCTCATGCTCTTTTGGACTCAAAGGTAACCATTTTCCTATTATTCTTAATCTTAGTATATACAAAGTACATGTTAATTATTATTACTATCTTCGTTTCTTATTATTTCCAACGATTTGATATAAAATAAAGAGAAAAAAATGTCTAATCGTGCAAATAATATGTAATGGAGTTAGTATATGAAGTTTGTCATTCCCTAGAGTAGACAGAGCAATTAAAGTTGGATATGAGGATCATGGAGTGGTTGGACGGGTTTGTACCTTCATCTCCGATCCCCCAGGGGTTAACCTGGGTTCGATGTTCACCCCACCGCTCCTGTGATAGAAGGGTAACCCAGTATCTTATTGTGTAATATAATTAAGGTTGGATATTACATGTACTTATGAACAAGTATAAAAAAGTTTGTACGGAGGAATAACCCGTGGTAGTCATTTCTTGGTTTCACCCCTACCTCGTATCGTAGTTACCGTTTGAATTAGATTTTATTATTTACGTGGGATCATTAAGTAATTGAATAATTTTTGTTTAATCCATGCCTTTTTATTTGTTATTCCTTAATATTCTAATATAATATATAGTCATATTTGCTTAGTTAATGGTATTATTATGGGTTGGTTGATCGTTGACAATTTTTCTTAAACACTTTTGTTAAGTCTCCAATGTATTCAATCATGACATTTTAGAATGGAGTAATAATTCTTTTTCTATTGAATTTAAAGAATGTAGTTTATATATTCGATCATGTAATATACTCCCAAATTTGTTTTGTCTAAGGAAAATGAGGCCGAAATTAAGTTACCGGCGGTTCAAGAAAAGGAGAAGATCAAGCTGAACGTCCTAAATTATGAAGGAGATGAAGAGGTAGTTTTGCAACTGAGATACTTCTAAATTACTATTGAGATATTCTTGACCATATACGTTTATTTTATGACATGTGTTGGGTATAATGTTGATTTTTTGAGTTTAATATATGACGGTCCAAATGGTATAACACCTTCTTATGTTGGGACATTCTGCCTAAAATTCTATAACGAGTATCTGTTTCTAAGTGAACTTTTTCCTTACTAGCAAAATACACGTGGTAAAGCAATTACACAAGGACAACTTAGATGACAACTAACTTGGTTGATTATAGTTTTGAGGATTGTAGTTATTAGTCAAAACCTGAGATCAAATCCTGTTTTCATCACGGCCTTTGATGACTATTTGTACGCTTTGAACTGTTAGGAACTCTTCGCATTTGTACACATTGGCTTATCAGCTAGCTGGACTGCAAAGCAAGATTAGACCTAGTATGACTGTATGAGTGAAGAGATTAAGCCTCTACTATAAGCATCTAAAATGAGCTGGATTGTGGGAGTAGTGTCCTTTTTCAGTTAAAAGTTCTGTACTTTTGTGTTTAATACTGTGCAGTACGAATATATATGGAAGGGTTGGAAGCTGACTTTGATGTATACACTCGTAAGATCTTAAGAAGGCTTGAGAGTTTCTCGAACAGACAGTTTAAGAAAATAAATCAGGAATCAGAATATTGTGAGTTGAAAAGAAGATTGAACCATTTTGCAAAAACTTAAGTTTCCTTCTTAACTGATTTTGATTGTTTCACCTCAGGACTATTTCAACTGTTAGTTTTTTTAATGCAATCAACTAAGAGACTTCTAACTTTCTAATCTGTTTATACTGGAGTTCTGTTGTAACATTAAGCTTATTACTAAGGTGAATAGGAATTATTAAAAAAAAGTGTAACAAATTTCAATTGATTTTTTGTAATGATTTTACACAAACTGAACTTTGAGACTTGTAGACTTGAGTTTTGAACTTGGAGCCATATCAATCATTCACGGTTACAATAGACAACTGTCCTACAAGTTCTGTTCTACTATAATACGATCTTATTGATTTAATTAAGCAATAATTTATTATCACAATAATTTGCAAATTGCAATGTAAATTGTACAACAGACTGTCCAATACTTCGTTTGTGTACTCTTAATAGCAATATATATTTCCAAATTTAATCTTTCGTTACAATTTGACAGACTTATGGCCATCTTGCGAGGGCAACTGTGAATATCAACACCGATCATCCCTCTTCAGATGATTGGGTTGCAGTTTTCTCCCCTTCAAATTTCAAGTAAGGCAACAAACATCCAACTAAAATTGGATAGAAAGTCTTATATAACAATGTAAATTTGAAACTTATTAGCTCGAGAGCACAAGATCTATGAAAATGACACTAACAAGAAGGATAAAGCTATACTTTTAATGTAATACTTTCATTTTAGTTCATATCTTCTCTGATTACAGTTTTATTTTCTTCCCAAACCAGTAATTCGATTTCCATAAGACTCGGCCTGCTTAACAATATATAATTGGTTTCTGTGTTTGGTTAGTGCATCTACATCTTGTCAAGAAGTTGGTAGCAAAAGAGCTGAGGAGCCATATATATGCACCGCGCCTATAAAGGTTAACAATATGTAATTCTACAAGCCTTGCATGAGGTACATTAACCAATAACTTATTGAGAGACATAAGATTAAGACCATAATATGTCACTGACCTCTCACAATAAGTTATTGGTAAGTTAGCCTTATACAAGATGATGCCAAATGTGTATATATTGGACTTTTTGTTGAACAAGGCGACAAAATAACAAGAGAATTAATCTCTCTATCTTTCAGTATAAATATGTAAATTACTCAAGTCCCAATTATCTCAAAACTGGAAAAGCTACTATGGATTTTGAATTGATCAATCAACGAGCTGATTTTGCATTTGCAGTGTTCTCTGGAGGATTGTCTAATGTAAGTTTAACATATACTTTTTCAATTTTTACCACTTTGCCTATCATTTTTTTGTTTGACAGATATTTTTCCTATCATACTAATGCATCAATATTTGATTTTTGAAGCCAAAACTTGTGAAGATTACAAAACCTATATCACCTTTTCCAAATCCTAAAGCGCCGCTTTACCCACGCCTTGCTATGGGAGAGACTTGGGATGTGGTAAGTTTCAATCAGCCTACTGCATTCTTGCACATATAAGGCAATCAGAATTGTTTCTATTGTCGTTGCATGGTAGTTAAAGGCAACTCGGGCTATTCATTTCACCTCAAGTACCTATGTTAGATTCTTAACATTTCAACATCAGTATGGACACTTGACACACTTTGTCTTGGACCTAAATCATGATGAAGTATGTATAATACAATAGCCAAGTTTTACATGCATACTCGATTTTTAGTAACATGGTACTACAACATGTTGTGACTTTCATTCATCACTATTGTTTGTGTGTATCAATTTCTTAGATGATTCACTCCTGTTCTGTAATTGATCTTCTCAATCTCAAGATTCAAATTTAGTCTTATACGAAGTATATCACTCTTGTATTTTTACAGATGACAGTAACATGGACAAGTGGTTATAACATAGATGAAGCAGTCCCTTTTGTGGAGTGGGGGCGTCCTGGTGGCGCTACCATGCAATCACCTGCTGGAACTTTTACATACATTCGCAGTCAAATGTGCGGTATGCAATTTTCTTCTATAACAACATCACCTTGATCTAATATCTTCTTGGTTTATACTTTGTCGTGCTAATACTGATACATAAGTTACTCATGTTTTATCACCCAACTTTTTTTGTTTAGATTTTGTCTGAGTTTTCTTATCTTGTAACATTTTCAAAATTTGTGCATTCTTATATGCTGTTACTAAGTTTTTTGGTTGTAAATGTGAAGGTTCACCTGCACGAACTGTTGGATGGCGTGATCCTGGATTTATACACACTAGCTTTCTTAAGGATTTGTGGCCAAACACAGTGTAAGAGTTGATGAATGCTATTAACTTCAGCTGAGTTATAATACTAAAAGACGTAAAAGACTAGATAAACTACCACTATCAACTCTCACCTTCACAAATGATTATGTTCATTGGTTTTATTTCAGATACACCTATAGGATGGGCCATCTCATATTATCTGATGGTTCATATGTTTGGAGCAAAAAGTATCAGTTCAAATCCCCTCCAGTTCCCGGAGAAAGCTTTTTACAACGTGTTGTTATCTTCGGTGACATGGGAAAGGTACAATACATTAGTTCAATGTAAATATAAAGTATCTAGCATAGGGATAACAGTCAGGTATAGTGGACACTTTCCTCCTCCTGCTCTAATTAAGTTAGTTGGAGTTTGATCGACGAATGAATTAACTGCATAGTTTCTGTCTTAGGGTGAACGAGATGGATCAAACGAGTATGCTAACTACCAGCCGGGAGCATTGAATACGACAGATCAACTCATCAAAGATATTGATAACATTGATGCTGTTTTCCTTATTGGAGACTTGCCTTATGCCAATGGATATGTCTCACAGTGGGATCAATTTACTGCACAAGTAGAGCCTATTGCATCCGCCGTACCCTTTATGGTTGCAAGGTTTGTGTGCTGTATCAATTGAATCTTTATATGATTTGTCATTTGAAAAAAGGTATTGTACAGAAGCATACAACAAAGAATGCATGCTAATGTGCTTGGTTCATGACTTTTTCAGTGGTAATCATGAACGCGATTCACCAGATTCAGGATCATTTTATGCAAATGATGACTCAGGTGGTGAATGTGGTGTTCCTGCAGAAACAACATTCTATGTTCCTGCTAAAAACAGGGCAAAATTTTGGTATGCGAAAATAATATAAATAGCTTTGTCACACAAGATATGGCCTATTCAAATCATTTGAAAGACTGAAATAAAGTTAGTCTGGCAACAAAATTGACACTTATGCACTCATACAGGTACTCAGCAGATTACGGAATGTTCCACTTCTGCATAGCTGACACTGAGCACGACTGGAGGGCCGGCACAGAACAATACAAATTCCTTGAGGAATGCCTTGCATCAGCAAATAGGCACAAACAGCCTTGGCTGATCTTTGCTGGTCATCGCCCCCTCGGTTACTCCTCTAATAAATGGTTTGGCCAAGAAGGCTCTTTCGAAGAGCCCATGGGTAGAGATGACCTACAAAGACTATGGCAGAAGTACAGGGTTGATATTGCATTTTGGGGTCATGTCCATAATTATGAGAGAACATGCCCTATATATCAGGTACGTAATTCTTTCTTGTTTAGCATCACATTAGTGCACACATGTTAAGAATTTAAGATGGTTTTAAAATTTCGGTCATTTGTTGAGTGCAGAACCAATGTGTGAAGAGCACAGATGAGACATCTCATTACTCAGGTGTGGTAAATGGTACCATTCATGTTGTTGCTGGTGGAGGCGGCGCTCACTTGAATGAATTTAGTCCTATAAAAACTATCTGGAGCATTTACAGAGATTACGATTTTGGATTTGTGAAGCTCACTGCATATAACTACTCGCATCTAAAATTCGAGTACAAGAAGAGCAGTGATGGCAAGGTTTATGATTCCTTCACTATATCTAGAGATTACAAAGATGTACTGTCTTGTGTTCATGATAGTTGTGCACCGTATACATTGGCTAGTTAAGATGGAAGGAAAATTCTTGGACGAAAGTTGGTTGTTACCTATATAACGATAGTCATATTAGACTATCAACGTGACAATCAATGTTAGACTTAAGAAATATGATTTCACTTCTACCATTTTGTAATTTTCTTTTGGATTGGCTCGTTTGTTAATCTATGTAGATATATTCAATGTTCAAACATTTATGTAGGTTAAACAAAGCATCACAATCAGATGTCAAAAAAAAAAAAAAAAGTATATTATTCTTAATAAACTTGCTTATGCCTTTAACTTCGATAAAACTTAAGTTATGCCTTTCACTTCGATTTAACTCTAATAGCCAATTGATAGTCAGTAATAGATGGTGCTCTTGGAAGTATATACTATATATGTACTAATGTTCAGCCAAGCATTTTTTTTTTTTTTTGACGAAAAGCCAAGCATTTTGTTGAACAAATTAGGGACCTAGTACTTCTTCTCTTCAAATTAATTTAGATACTTAGTAGATTTTGTTTAAATAAGAACTAATCACACTAGATAAAAAATATTCAGATTATAATAGAAAAATTCAGATCAAATAAAGTAGACATTTTAAACAATGATACCGTAAGAAGAATCAAACTAGATCAAACAATTTCATACCAAATCAAATCAAATCTTAGAATATTCAAACCAAATCACCTTATTTCAGGCAAAGAGAACAAGTACTTCTACGTACTTAGTACTCCCTCCGTTTTAAAATACTTGCTCCATTTCTATTTTTTGCACTATTTATTTGTCCTACTTTGACTAATGTTTGTGATTTATACATAAGAAAAAATATAGTCTTGTGGGTACTTGTTGGAATCATCTCAATAAATAAATTATTAATTTTCAATTGTTAGAATTTATATTTATTGATAATTAAAGATATTAGTAATCAAATATTAATATCGACATACATGTCTAAGAGAAATGGAGCAAGTATTTAAAAACAGAGGGAGTAAGACTTTTCACCAAAGTAGTGACAGCCTACACATTTGGTGAAACACTTGGTTGTAATAATTTGGATTATAGTGTGGGCCTCTAAAGTTGACATAGTATTTGTAAATAATTGCTGGATTTACTTTATATATACAGACACACGCAAATTGCGTGTGCAACATAAGAAATTAATATGCATGACTCGATTTTTTTTTTCCCTAAAATATTATCTACCTTATTCTAATAAAAAAAAAAAATATTAGTGGGTTTATAAATTGATGAAATCATAAAGGTTAAAAGGTAAGCTATGAGTACATTATAATGTTCATGCAAAATATGATTTCTCTAAAAAAAAAAAAAAAAAAATTAAAGGGTTGTAGTTGTTTTGTTTTATTTTTTATTTTAAATAAATGATAGTTATATTTTTTAAATTATGATAGTTTTCTTTTGAAAATTATAAAAGATGAAAGGGGTATTTTGGGGAAGTGAAATTTATCACCCAAAACCCCCTTTCACTGTATATATATATATATATATATATATATATATATATATATATATATATATATATAAATAAATAAGCATCATGGTTTGTGAATATATTAATACACATTATTGCAAAAATATCAAACTTTACTTTGATCATTACATTACACTGTGCTTTTGTCAAAGAGATCAAGTGGATATCAAGTGGATGCCCACTTTGGTCGATTGCTAGAAAAGAACAGCACCACCCTCGTGATTCATGCTATATTGCTAATTTTAGACGTATTTCATTTAGCAAGCGTTATTATGTACTTGGAAAATTTCGACAATGGAACGAATATCGCTTTCATATTGAATATCTAAAAATCAATAACGTTGCAAAAGATAAAGAGTGATTAACTGATTATGATGCTCGAAATAATAAGTTCAGAGACCAATTATAATAACTCAAATTTTCTAATCAAAATGTACGTTTTTTGTTTCAAAACTAGCTTTTTGACCCGTTCAATGCACGGGTTGTTACCTGGGTTAATTATATGAAATAATTGCTTTATTTCTAAAACTTAAAAAAAAAAAAAAAAAAAAAAGACCGTGGATGGTAAAACTGTGAAAAAAGATGAAGAAATTTATTTAGATATATATACATGAAGATTGTGAAATATGAAAAGATATATCAGTTTAAATTATATTTAAAGTCTAGGAGATGAAAAGATTATTTTATTATAATTCATATGTTTATGTAATGAGTACTAATTAATTGAACTTTATTTTATTATAGTGGAAATGGAACATTTTATTTTCTTACTTGAATATAATATATTAAGGGAGGTGACATGTGTTATATGAAGTATTGAGTGACTTGTGATGTCATGTGTCATATAAAAAAAATTATGGTTTGTGTTTTAAATACTAAGTATAGATAGATGATTGAGCTTTTATATATACTAGTTTTGTGCCCCGGGCCCGGGTTGTTTATGAAGTCGATTTAAATCTATACAACGTGGCGCGACAATCAAATTTTATTTTATTGAAAATAAAACTCTAAATTAACAATTTTATCCTAAAATTCTATCCAAATTTGATTCAAAATAGAATTCTAAACTAACAACTTTAAAAAAAATCGGGTGTACAATAATTATTATACATTCATTATAAAGATAGCTTTATAAAACTTTTTATAATGAATGTACACTTTATTAGTAAAACTTTTTATAATGAATGTACACTTTATTAGTAAAACTTTTTATAATGAATGTACACTTTATTACCTCTGAAATGAATAAAAGTTACCCTAATATGCATAAAAGTAACCCAATTTAAATAAAAATTATCTACACTTATTAGTAAAGAATTACATTTTAAATGACTAAAAATCAATTATTAATGATTGAATGTAATTAAATTACCTTTATAAAACTTTTCTTGTTGTCTATTTATATAAAAATTGTATTATGTTTAAATTACCCAAAAACAGGCAAAAAGTTACCCTAAAATTAGCTAAAAGTTACCCTTATATATACTGCTCGATGTACACTAATATTAGTGTAAATCGGATGTATACAAAAGTTTTTTTTTATCTTATGAAGTGTATTTAAATCTATCCAACGTGGCGCGACACTTGACGAAAAGTTAGAATGCCAAGTGTCGCTGCCTCATGAACTGGCTAAAAGTTTAGCTTATATATTAGTTATACGATATGATATATTTTTTTGAGGGAATAGTTATATGATATATATTATAAAGTATATTGTTGAATTGTTATTGATATAAAGTTTTATAATATTAATTTTTTATACTAGTGTTTAATTATATATATTAGGTCAAATTAGTGCATTAATATATGTGTCAAATTTGATTATATCAATTATCAAGAAACAAAAGAAGTATGTTGATATCATGAGTTCATTCATGACCATATCAATAACTCGCAATTTTTATTTTTGTGGAAATATTTATCCATCTCTAAAAATAGGTAATGAACCCGTAAAAATAGTAAAGGGTAGTGAAAAGCATTACTACAAAAAATGATATTTGTTGGAAAAAAAGGTAACTAAGAATTAAAAAAAACCCTAGCCTCCTCTCTCTACTTTCTTCTAAACTTTAGCCTCCATCGTCAATTTTGAAGGGGCTTCCATCGGATTTTACCGGTGGAAAGCCCCAATCTTTATTTTCTTTTAAGTTTTTTGTTTCTTAGGTTACAATAATGTCTCCCTCGAAAGAAAGGGTTTATCTCCTTTGAAAGACAAGGTTTTTTCGATCTCCTTCGAAAGACAAGGTTTTTCGCACTCCTTCGAAAGACAAGGTTTTATTTGCGCTTAATTTGGTCTCTGGTTGTACGGGGCTACTATTGATTATGGCTCGGATTCGGGTTACGGAATCAACACAAGAATTTAGTTTCTCACAAAATTGCGAAGCGGCGGCGGATCCACTCAAAAAGTTGTATGAGACAACCAACCGAGAATGTGCCGAATTGTTATATTTATGTATTTGGATTCTTAGCCCTTCCCCGATTAATTCTTATTTGATTTTGTTAAATTCGTTTTCATTATCGTTAATTGTCAATTGTAGATGTCGTATGGCTGTTATTAATGAAATTTAACGTCCTTTAAGACTTTTTTCAAAAAAATAATAATATACAAAATGATTTTCTTCAAAAAAAAAATAAAATAAAAAAATATATATATACAAAATGATACCACACGTTTTATATTTCTATATAAGATTAATACAAATCTAATATATATATATATATATATATATATATATATATATATATATATATATATATATATATATATATATATATATATATAAAGGGGAGTTTTTTCCCGAGTTTTTAGAGAGCCACGTAGGATCTAATTTTCTCAACGCGCCATGTAGGATTATAAATCTTAATAGTAGCCAATTAAATAAGAGATTATTAATTTCTTTTTAGAATTAAATAATTCAAATGCCATGTAAGCAAAATTGACGAATGAGATTTTTAAGTTTAAATTAATTAAATATTATATATTATCTTTTAATGTTAGGAATCTATATATTATACTAAAATACAAGTGCCTCAATGTGAGGATGACAAATGTCACTCTCTCATTGGCTTATCTTATGTATAAAATATATCTATATAATTACTGTTTACATATTTAAGCATAGTTATTTTTGTTAAACTTCAAACAATAAAAGCAAGTTTCTATACATGAATAAGATTTTCATTATTTCCTAACATAAATATTGATTTAATTTTTTATACTAAATATATACTTTCCAATACTACAAATAATCCATAAAATCTTTCCAATCTTTATTTATAGTTAACTTAAAGAATAATAACTAATTTGAACCAATATGATTAAAGTGGCATAATTAAGGAAACAAATATTTCGTATTTTGAAAGACTAATATTGTTTTTTTTTTATGAAAATTAAATAAAATCAATAATATTTAGTTTGAAGTCAATTATGAAATCAATACAAACATTTTAAAAAAAAATCAGATGTACAATAAAATATTGTACACCTATTATAAAAGCTACCCTGTAATGAATGAAAGTTATTTATGCTTTATTGATAAAAGTTACCCAAAATAATGTAAAAGTTTTTGATACAAAAGTTTTTGATAAAGATACAAAATAGTGTAAAAATTATCTTTATCGTTTTTTGTACTCCTTGACAAATACTGAATGCTGAGCCGAAATGTTGTCTTGGAAAAAATACATAATCCTGAACATAAATTTAATTTTAATCGGCCTTTCATTTTCTATACAATGTCTTTTACAATGACCTTTTGTTTTTCTTGCATAACAAAAAAAAAAAAAACAAAAAACAAAAACAAAAAAAAAAAAAAAAAACAAAAA